AAATCAAGAAAAAAATCCCATTTGGTATAATTACATGAAAAATAAAGTACCTAGGAATAAACCTAACCAAGGAGGTAAAAGACCTGTACACAGAAAACTACACAACACTGAAGAAAGAAATTAAGGAAAACACAAATAAATGGAAGCATATACTGTGTTCATGGATTGGAATAATTATTATCATCAAAATGTCCATACTACCCAAAGCAATTTATAGATTCAATGCAATCCCTATTAAAATACCTATGATGTATTTCACAGACATAGAACAAACATTTCAAAAATTTATATGGAACCATAAATGACCCTGAATAGCTGCAGCAACTTTAAGAAAGAAAAACAAAGCAGGAGGGATCACAAAACCAGACATTACACTATATTACAAGGCCATTGTAATCAAAACAGTCTGGTACTGGCATAAGAACAGACACATAGATCAATGGAACAGAATGGAGAGCCCAGAAATAAACCCATGTCTCTATGGTCAATTAATAATCAACAAAGGGTCCAGAAGCATAAAATGGAGTAAAAATAGCCTGTTCAACAAATGATCTTGGGAGAGCTGGAGAGCTACATGCAAAAAATTGAAATTTGACCGCCAACTTACACCATACACAAAAATAAACTCAAGATGGATAAAAGACGTAAATGTAAGTCACAATAAAATTCCTAGAGGAGAACATAGGCAGGAAACTCTTAGATATTCCACACACCTATATTTTCACCAATATGTCCTCTAAAGCAAGGGACATAAAGGAAAGAATAAACAAGAGGGACCTCATCAAAATAAGAAGCTTCTGCATGGCTAAAGAAAACATCAGCAAAATGAAAAGGGAACCAACCGTATGGGAAAATATATTTGCCAATGCTACATCAGACACTTCTCCAAGTAAGAGATACAGAGGGCCCAGAGACATATGAAAGGATGCTCAGCATCACTAGCCATCGGAGAGATGCAAATTAAAACCACAAAGAGATACTACTTCACACCAGTCAGAATGGCCATCATAAACAGATCAATAAACAATGGGTGCTGGCGAGGCTGTGGAGAAAAGGGAATCCTAGTCCACTGTTGGTGGGAATGCAGACTGGTGCAGCCACTGTGGGAAACAATTTGGGATTTCCTCAAAAAGCTAAAAGTCACTGCCTTTTGACCCAGCAATTCTACTGCTAGGATTATACCCTAAGAATCCCAAAACACCAATTCAAAAGAACCTACGCACCCCAATGTTCACAGCAGCACAATTTACAATAGCCAAGTGCTAGAAGCAACCTAAGTGCCCCCATCAGTAAATGAGTGGATCAAAAAACTATGGTACATTTACACCATGGAATACTACGCAGCAGAAAGAAAGAGCTACTACCCTTTACAACAGCATGGATGGAACTGGAGAGTATTATGCTAAGTGAAATAAGCCAGGGGGCGAAAGACAAATACCATATGATCTCACCTATAAGTGGAACCTAATCAACAAAACAAACAAGCAAGGAAAATATAACCAGCAACATTGAAAGAAAAAAGAAACCAACAGAATCAAGAGGGATGGGGGGGCGGGGAGCGGGGGAAGGGAAGGATCAAATCAAGGAACATGTATAAAGGACCTTGGACAAAGCCAAAGTAGGAAAGGATTGAGGGAGGGAGGTAGGGCAGGGGAAAGTGGTGGTGGGAAAATGGAAACAAATGTATCTGAGCAATAAAAAGAAAAGAAAAAAGAAAAATGTCTCATTAACTCACTTTCTTTGCGCCATTCATCTCTGTCCTCAAAGGCAAGGCACCAGTGTGGGCTGTCATTGCTTCTCATGTACAAAGTTTCAGCTCCCTATTACCTGGCCTCTCCACCTCCGCTCTGCACATCCCAATCCACTCTGCATGTGGCTGGCAGGTTCACCTTTAAAAAGTACAACTCCACACACATTACTTTCCTCCAAACACTCCTTAATACTTGTTGAAAAGAAGGTCAGACTACCTTTTCTACCCCACCCTTTTCATCATTGCAAAATTCCCTCACCTTCGTCTTTCCTTGATCAGTGTTAGATGTTTCTACTTCCCATTTCTCAGCAAGTTCTCTTTCTTGCCTCTATTATAAATTCAACAATTGTAGGTTGACTTTCTGCTAAATGTAAAAAACTCCGCCCAGGCTGAGGGCAATTTATAAAACTGTAGATTCTGTCCAGATCATGAGAGGAACTTGATATGTAAATACTGAGAAGGCAGAAATGCAATCAACTATCACACAAGGCAAAATAAGCTAAATGCTAGACCGGAAGAAGAAAGTGCTAGGGAGGGAGTGATTCCTCACAACACAAGGCAGTGTGGGCAGAGTGGGGGTGATCCGGAAGGCTTCCAGAAGAGGGGGCACTTGAGCCTGTCAGATGTGTTGGTTTTGACAAGGAGAGAAGCATCACAGCACCCATGCTTCCAATCACTCCTAGGAAGCTTCCGTCCCAGCTTTGCCTGCCTCAGACAGACTGATCCATCTAAGCCCGACTCTTTTATGCACGTCCTTCGGTACACGCACCTTTCACAAACTCACCCTTTCCAACTCGTATTATAGTTCATTGTGCACATGCCTTATTTCTCTAAGCCATGAGGTCTTCGAGGAAATGTAGTGTATCCACTGCACCTTTGCGTCCCCATCTATTGAGGCCAGAACTGGCCCGTCCCTGGCCTCTAATATGTGCCTTGAGTGTGTGTATAAATGAGTGTAAGTTAGGCTACTTGTTTTGAACAATGTTTTGAAGGTGAAATATTTAGATTCCTTCAGACACTTAATAAATATTTATTAAAAGACTTACTATGTGCAAGGCGTTTGTGCTAAGTGTTGGAGGTAAGAGTGGTATACATGGGCATGGGCCTGCCCTCGTGAAGCTTACTGTATAAAGGTGGAGATGACCATTAAAGAACCGAACAGTTAAGCAAACACTTGTTGAATTACAGTTGTGATTATCATTAAGAAGAAAAATAGAGGGCAACAATAAAAGGTAACACTTCTATAGCACTCACCAGCTGTCCAGACACTTTATGTAGGTTCAGTCATTTGATCCTTATCATAATCGTTACGAGGTGGAAGCACTCTGAAGGGGAGAAAACTGAGGCACAGTAGGTTCAAGTAACTTTCTCAAAGCCCACAGCTATTAACCATTAGCGCCCGTGCTGCCAGAATATATAACACAGTGACACTATCTAGTTTAGTGGACTCAGAGAAGACTTCCCTGGGGAAGGGATATCCATCTGATATCAGCAAGGGGAATAAGAGTTGACCAGGCAAAAAGGCTACTGTGGGCATGTTTTGGGCAAGGTTAGGCCTGGAGGAGGCAAGGAGCCCGATAAACCTGAAGAACAGTATGGAAAGTAGTGAAGCCGGTGAGACAGGCAGTGACCATGCTAAGAAATTTGGGTTTTACCCCAAAAGCAATGCACACTTTAAGGGGGAGGTGTCACAATCAGATTAGAATTTTTAAAAGCTCCCTTTGGCAGCTGTGGGAGAAACTGGCTTGCGGGCCTAGGGGATATATTCCTGTGTGTGTGGTCAGGAGAGAGGCTGGTGGTCTGCACTGGGGTGTTAGACGTGCAGGGAGAGGGGAACTGCCGGATTTTCTATGTTTAGGAGACAGAAATAAGAAAATTTGGAAGTTGGTTGTGGCAGCGGGGAGAGATGAAAGTGCTGGGAAGATGGGCGAATGGTGATGCATTTAGCAAGATGTAGAAGACCAGAGTTCAGGCTGGGAGGAAGATGAGGATTGCAGTTCTGGCCACAATGGGTTTAAAGTCCAGTAACCCAACCAAGTGGAGAGCTGTGGAGGTCGTTGGATGAGTGTTCAGAAGACAGGCTACGGTGGAGACATACATGTGGGAGCGGAGGGCATATAGAAGAGGCTTGTGTGCATAGACCCCGTGCCCACATCCTTGCCAACACATACACATCCATGTACAAAGAGCAGAGAAGGCAGATCAGCCCTGCTCCAAGGAGACTTTATGTTTAAAGGTCCAGTGTGCTCCAAAGGTGCTGATCAGAGCATCTCCTATTTTTCATCAACCACTTTCTGTAAATGGTGCAGAAGCTGCTCTCCCCCCACACCCAAGGCTTCCACAGGCAAAGCAAGAGGAGAAGCTCGGACTGAGCAGCTATAATTGAGGCCTGAGACCCAGTCACACTCAGGGTCCAACACTGTTGACTCTCCTCCCACCCCCATCCCTTTCAACTCCCCTCCCCACCTCCCTGTTTCTCAGAACTCCTGGAAGGGTCCGGAGCTCCCTCTTCCCACACTTGCTCAGTCTGCACCATGCGATTGGCTTCTGTGGTACCCGTATCTCTTTGAAGCATTCGCAGCTCCTTTTAACCTGATTCACCATGTGGAAATGTTGGGGGTGGGGCGTAAAAGGGAACCACCGGGTAACGGGTTGCTTTCAGAAATGTTTTCAAGTTCCCGGTGCTAGGAAGTGGGAGGATGAGGACGGGAGGGGCGTGAAAAATAATCATACTGAGGCAAGTCTCCGGTTGGGAAGATCCCTTTGGGGATGCAGATGCCGGGGTCGCGGGATGACGCCCCGCGTCATCGCGGTTTCCGGAAACACACCCCTGCGTCCTCGGTCTCTCTCCTAGTTCCGGGAAAGTGCGACCGAGCGGGCTGAAAGCGCCGGTTGGCCTTGAGGAAACTTCGGCGGCTGGGCGGAGCGGAGGGGCTAGACGAAAGGAAAAAGCCCTGTTCCTAGCTTGATTCTCTCGCCTCCCTTGTCCGAGAGAGGGCCGAGGCCCGGTGGCGCGCACGTTGTGGGCACCTGCGCCGGCGGAGCGTGCGGGGGCGGGTCTGCGCCGGCCGGAGTCCTAGAAGCGAGCGCGAGAGCCTGAGCGCCCAGCAGAGGCAGCAGCGGCGCTGCGAAGTCGCTGGCACCCCGGCGCACAGAGACACAAAGGCTGGTAGGATGTGAGAGCAACTGAGAAGCCAGCAAAGGAAAAGCGAAAGCCAGGGACCCTGCCAGTGACGGGGTGAAGGCGCCGCACAGCCCTCCCAACCCTGACAGTTCCTGGGCCTGTCCTCTGGGGATCGACGGCTGAGCGCGGCGCGCCGCAGCCATGGCCATCGCCCACCTGGCCACCGAGTACGTGTTCTCGGACTTCTTGCTGAAGGAGCCCTCGGAGCCCAAGTTCAAGGGATTGCGACTAGAGCTGGCCGTGGATAAGATGGTCACGTACATCGCGGTGGGAATGCCTCTGCTGCTCATCTCGCTGGCCTACGCGCAGGAAATCTCGATCGGTAAGGTCGTGAGCGGGAGGGGTGTGGCGGGCCAGGGAGAGAAAACACCCAGGGCTGCGTCGGCATCCTGGGCGGTGCCTGTGTCTCCGGAGAAGTGATTTTACCCTGTGCCCCTGGCAGTGCTCAATGCTTATATGGGCAGGAATGTTGGGAAGAAAGGTAGCTCCAGTTTTCCTCTGTCCACGTGCTTCATTTGTACTTCTGTGCACCCTGCTCGCATCCCTACTCCTCAGTTGTGTTTCCTGCGCCCCACTGATCCCGACTGTGGCTTAGTGTTTAGGTTCCACTCTTATGACCGGCCACCAGATTTGTCCAAAACAACTGTCTGCCTTCTCTTCCTCTATACACATTTCTGTCATCACCCACAATTTTGTGCCAGAGAAGTTCTGAGTGGCTAAACATTGGATATGGAGACAGGTGCTCCATGAAAAGTAGGTATGTTCTCCCTTTGTTATCTTATTTTAGTTGATATTTATTGAAACTTTAGCGCTGCAGGATTCTGAATGATAGGAAATACCTGTAGTTGGCAGGTAATAGATATCAACATCCTCTGCCTGCACGTTCTCATTATGGATGTGAAATGAATGAGTCCCCTTCATGTAAATTCTCACTTCATCATAACAGTTCTGGGAGATTCTAAAGTCTGGTGGTTTGGGCAGGATGACATGGCTGAAAAGGGTATAGTCTACTCCTCAGTTCTTCTGGCTTTCAGCACAGGAGAGAGTGTTTTTGAGCCATCAGGAGGGCAGTGTATGACAGACAGCTACAGATAGTTCTGTGGGGGGACAGGGGGAGAGGCTGGTGGAGCTGGACCTCTGTGATAGGTTGGGCTGACCCTGAGCCTTGGAATGTGGGTGGAATTTGGGATAAGCAGAAGTGAGACCTTGCCAAGATTTTGAGATGGCAAAAAATGATCCGTGTTCCTGGAAGCAGAGACACAGTGGTGGTTCTAACTGAGGCAAGAGGAATAGTCAGTGTTCCCGAGATAGAATGAGTGTGGGCCTGGGTCACTTAGCTCAGAGGAGTACAGACTTGGTGGTTTGAAAGTATGAAATTCTTATTTGATCAAAGGATGGACTGGTTGAAAACAGCACTTAATAATAGTCTGCCAGTAGCATGTGGGGTCTGTGAGGGAGGGGAGAGCGGAGTTAAGGAGGCTGGATGCTGGAAGATGGAGCATCCGTTGAGGTCTTGTGCATCCGCGGGGGCCAAGAGTGGAAGGGAAAGGATGGGAAAGGGTGATTTCTGAGAGACAGAGGAGCATCAGTCAGCACTTGGGTACTCATTTTTAGTAGGCTGTGAAGGGCAGACGCTGCTCAGTTTTGGAAAGGCTGCAGGCCAGGGTGAGTGGGAAATGGTGTTGATGGAAATAATACATTGAGAGAAGAGTTGGTTAGAAAAGGGTTATGATGAGTCTGATTTTGTGATCTATGGCACTAAGTTGTTCAACTTCTCAGGAAGTTGCCATCATTGTGGAAAAATAAGTGTTCAGTTTTCCTTATCTCTGGGTAGGCATAGCCCTGGGGTTTCCTTCCACTTTCCAGATGGGCAGGTGTTGAGGCTTCCAGCACAAAAGAAAACCACCGACGAGATAGTCTTTCCATTCAGCAACTGTTTCATGAATATACCAGCCAGGGCTGGACCCAGTGCTGGGCACCGAGGACTCAGGCGTAAATGAGGCATGGTCCCTGGCACGGAGGAGCAACAGTCTAGGGCACCAGTTGCCAGGAGGGAAGAGTTGGTTACTATCCATGGTCAAACTTCAGCTCTGGCCACATATTAGAGGGACATCTGAGGTACCTGCTCCAGTAAAGCTGTGGACACCTCCAAATGGATGTGTTGTCTGAGAGGCATTTAGCTGGCATTAGGAATGGGTTTATGCAGCAAAGACATGACCACATGCTGTGTGCATAGCAATGCTGGGTTTGAGGAGGACATGAAAGGAATGTGAGGCACAGTCCTCTCTCCCTGCCCTGTGGGAACTTACCACCCCCCTGAGCACTGGAACAGACATGCTGGCAGGTAGCCTCATTTGGTTGTGTGTGATTCAGTGACAAGACAGGGTAGAGCTTTGAGCACCAGGCAGGTGAAGGTTGGCGGAGACTTGGCTGAAGAGCTGTCGAGCAGATTCCCATGCCTTCCCAAAAGTGTCAGGACCTCCAAGGGGAAGACAGACATGTGGGATGAAGCCATCAGGACCAGGAAAGGCCTATCAGATTGAGTGCACATTAGGTAAAGCCAGAAGAAAGACTCTGAAGAGGAGAAAAGAGGTACCTAAGTTAATACCTGGAGTTAGTACAATGGGGTCACGTCATGGAACGTTTTGTTTTGTGCAAATTCAGTTTTTATACAGAAACAAAGCAATAAAGGAGAACAACACCAAGAGAGAGGAATAATTGAAATGGAGCAGGCACTTTCGCCCACGACCTTGGCCAATGAGCCCTGGCTTCGGGAGTGTGCAATAGGTCTGCACACCTTAAACATGGCTCATCTTCCCTCTCATGAGAAGTGCTCCCTGCCTCTCTGGTGCCTGTGCCTGATACTCATTCATTGTCATACTTTGAGCATTGTATTATAGCCTGTCCCCGTGGCTGCCTCACCTACAACATACTTCATTTCTGCTGACCCCTAGAAGCTGGCCAATGCAGCAAGGGGGCTGCTGAAGGTTAGAAAGAATGTCCCCATATGACAGAACAATCTGTGTGTCATGTTAAAAGCTTCTCCTTAGTTTTTGGCCCATTTTCTCACTAGTTCAATGCACTGGGTCCCTTTCTGAAAAAAGGGACAGAACCTGCCCAGGCCATGGAGACCGACAGGCAGAGCAGCAGACTGCCCTTTGGGCTGTGCTGGGTGCAAGCATGGCGGCTGCCGGCGGAGTCTGCTCCACAGAGCTTCCGCCCCTTGCTCCCTGCAGCAGCTCACACAGGCCCAGTGTGCAGCTGTAGGAATACCGTCCTCTGCCCCAGGAAAACCCTCGTTTCTAACCTAGCTGTCCCCAGATGCCTGTGGAGGTGCAACATATTTCACCCTGGGAGGGAGGAAGGGCAACATTTAGGAAATAACTCAGTGACAGCTCTGTGGAGAATACAAGCGTAATTGGACTGCGTGGCCTTCCAGCTCTGAAATTCTAGCAGAATTTATCTAAACTACTGAAGAAACATATTCCCTAGGTGTGCTTTCAGTAGACCAGACTTTGAATGGGGTTCATGTTCTTGGGGACTTTTGACAAGGTTTGTAATGCACTCGGCTTAGGATTGTGCAGGGCCTTCTCAGGTGCTGCTTTGATTCTCTGGTGCTCTAACCTGCTGAGTTAGGAGACCCTGGGAAAGAAGTGCCCCATGTCTTCTGCCAGGCGGCTTCTTGTCCTGAGCCTGGCCGGCTGGACCAGATGAGCAGTGGAGGCAGCCAGTGCACCCGTGGGAAAGGGAGTCTGATCTCCATGGAGCTTTTTCTTCCTGCTGCCCTCCCAGTGGGCAGCCACAGTTCTGGACAGAGGGATCTGGCCCCTTTGGGTTAGCTGTGCTCTGCTGCTGTCATTAGAGGCAGGCACTGGGCCAGCCCCAGAGAGCCAAAGGACAGAAGCAGCTGCTTCTGATACCATTTGCTTTCAGTGGCCCTGTATTTTCTCCACCTTAGTCAACAGCTGAGTGGCTTAAGGCATCTGCTCTGTGCTGGTTGAATTTAGGCATATCTTTGGGAATAAGTTAGGCTTCTTTTCAGCTTGTACTAGGTGGTAAAATTGGTTGATTCTTTTTAGGGCGTCTATAAGAATGGGCTAATATTTAGGTCCTCAGGGGACAGATCTTGTAACAGCACATCTTCAGTTCATACTTAAAACGAAAGAGCCCAGAGAGCCTCTGACCCCTTCCAGAAGGACACCTGGTGTCCAGAGAAGCCACCACTGTGAATTTGCTTTTCTTTGTTGCCGTTTTTGTTGTCTTTATTGTGCAAATGGTACCTAAATATATTGTACAAATATATGGTACTAAATATATTTTCATGCTAAAGGAGTCATAAACCTCCTTCACCATGTGCTGGAGGTGACCCATGTAGACACGTGGACTGCCTTGAAGTTCCCTTTGCTGCATTAATATAACATGCATACACATTTTTTAAAACAAACTGAGTCATACCACTGTGGTTTGCTTTTTCTCGCTATGTTTTGGGCAGCATTCTGTGTCAGTACATGTGTTACCTCACTGTTTTTTTAAATCCTTACCCGAGGATATATTTATTGATTTGAGAGAGAGAGAAAAAGGGAGAGGGAGAGAGAAATATCAATGTGAGAGAAAAACATCGATTGGTTGCCTTCCATATGTGCCCCGACTAGGGATTGAACCCACAACCTTCTGGTGTATGGGACAGCGCTCCAACCAACTAACCCACAGGGCCAGGTATACCTCACTATTTTTCAATAGACAGGCAGCATATTCCATAGCCTAGTATATTCTTATCATAACTCATCTAAGCACTTTCCTAGTGATGTACATTTAGGTTGTTTCAAAATTTCTACTGTTACACATGAAGGTTGTGTGTGCATAAATCTTTGTCAATGTTCCCTCCTTCCAATGTTGAAAGGAAAAGAGAAGAGAGCAGTGTTACTTCGCAGAAGGATAAAATCATCTTCCAGCAGTTTGCATTCCTGAGTTCTTATTTCAAGGAAGTAGGTAAAAAATGCTGCCTTGTACACCCTCCACCTCTAATTCCTTCTAATTGTGACTCTCAGATTGCCAGAGGCATTTTGATGTGCTCCCCCCTTTAAGGGGTAAAATTGCAACACTCAGTGGATTTCCTGATGTGTCCTTGGAGCACACTGTAACTTCACTTCCTAACACTACAAGTAGCAATTAGGTAATTATTTGTATTATTTGTTGAATACTCTCTCTCCTCCAGACTGTACTTTCATGGGGGACAGGGACCATCTGTCCTCTGTGGGGATGACGGCTCTGTCCATAGCTTCCAGCAGGAAACTTGATAGATAGTACACATTCGATAGAGGG